TATCACTTGATACAGAAGAGGTATTTGATAAAATCCAACATCCATTCCTGATTTAAAAAAAATCAATAAAATAGGAATAGAAGGGCAATTCCTCAACAAAATAAGGGCATATATACAAATCCAATAGCCAACATTACTCTCAGTAGAGAGAAATTGAAAGCATTCACCTTATGAACAGAAACAAGACAAAGATGCCCTTTATCACCACCCCTGTTCAACATGTGCTGGAAGTATTAGCCAGAGCTATAAGGCAACAAAGGGAAATTAAAGGCATCTAAAATGGTAAAGAAGTAAAGCCCTCTCCGTATGCAGATCATATGATTCTATACATAGAAAATTCTAAAGACTCAGCAAGAAAATTATTGTAACTCATTGAAAGAGTCAGAAAAGTGGCAAGGTTCAGATCAACATAAAAAAAAAGTAAGATTCATTTACACTAATAAAAATAGTTCTCAAAAGGAAATCAGGAAAAAATACAATTTACTATAGCCACCCAAAAGATCAAACACTTAGGAATAAATCTAACCAAAGAAACAAAAGACCTATACAAAGAAAACTACACACAACTAGTACAGGAAACAAAAATAAACTTACAAAAAAATACAATGTTCATAGATAGGAACACTTAGCATTGTGGAAATGTCAACAGTACCAAAGCAATCTATAGATATAATGCAATCCCAATCCAGATTCCAACACCATTCTTTAAAAAGATGGAAAAATGAATCACTAACTTTATATAGAAAGAAAAGAGACATTGGATAAGCCAAGTACTGCATAAGAAGAGCCACAAAGTTGGAGGCCTTTTGCTTTCCAACCTCAAATCAACTACACAGACAAAGTGGTACAAACGTTTGATATTGGTACAATGATAGATCAGTGGAACAGAATTGCAAACCAGAAGTAAATCCATTCACATACAGTCAGCTGACATTTGACAAAGGGCCAAAACACATTAAATGGGAAGGAGATAGTCTCTTCAATAAATGGTGTTGGCAAAACTAGAAACCCATTTTCAGAAAAAATGAAACAAGACCTTTATCTCATGCCGTATCAAAAAACAAACTCAACATGGATCAAAGATCTAGAGGTAAACCTAGAGCTATAAAGATTGTCAATGAAAAATTAGGGGCCATTTTAGGTGCTCTGATACATGTCATAAATACACTGTCAAACATAGCTAAAAACTAGACCTCCTAAAAATTAGACACTGTTGTGCAGCAAAAAACTTCACCAATAAAGTAAAAAGAGAACCCAGAGACTGAGAAAAATTTTTTTGCAATGACATATTAGCCAATGGATTAATCTCTAAAATGTATAGAAAACTACACCTCCACCACTCATCTGTCAGTTTGGCGTACTGTGATGACTTGCATTTTGCTGTGATGCTAGAAGCCATGTTATCAATATTTGGAATACTGGTACAAAAAAGAAGAAAAAGATCAAAATGTCTCTGAAACTTGCTCTCCAGTGTAGAGGTACTAATGCAAATGGAAGAATGAAGAGGTAAAATAGCTGAACAGACAGTTTCAAAGGGCAGCTCATCAAATATTTTGCTCCAATAGAAAACAAAGTCAAATATTATAACAAAATGTGCAAAGATCTGGAGAACAAAACAAAAAGGGAAGTACACATTCATCATTTATTACGCTGGGGTAAATGGGGAAAAATTTAAGCTTCGATTTGCAATATTGAAGTACTCTGTGGGAAAAATGAAGTCCTGATGTGGCACTGTGGGTTAATGCATCAGACTACAAAGCCATTTGAACTGCAAGGTTGGCAGTTCAAGCTCACCAGCTGCTTCTTGGAAACCCTATACAGGGTTGCTATGGGTTGGCACCAACTTAATGGCACTTAACAATGGGCAAAATATTGAATAATGTAGAAAGCATCAAAGGAAGATGAAAAGACTAAACAGAGTCACTGTACAAAAAAAAAAAAAAAAGATTGATATTCCATTATTTCAAGAGGTAGCATATGATCAAGAGCCAATGGTACTGAAGGAAGAAGTTCAAGGTACACTGAAGTCATGCACAAAGAGCAAGTTCCAGACACTGATGGAATACAAACTGAAATCTTTCAACAAACTGATGTGGCACTGTAGGCATTCACATATGCTAAGACATTTGGAAGACAGCTACCTGGCCAACTGATTGGAAGAGGACTAATTGTGCCCATTTCAATGAAAGGTGACCCAATGGAATGTGGAAATCATTTTGTTGTTGTTGTTAAGTGTGGAAATCATAGGACAATATAATTAAGATTGCATGCAAGTAAAATTTTGCTAAATATAATTCAAAAATGGCTGCAGCAATCTATCAACAGGGAACTGCCAGAGTTTCAAGCCAGAATCAGATGTGGACATGCAATGAGGGACATCATTGCTGACATCAGATAGATATTGGTTCAAAGCAGAGAATATTAGAAAGATGTTTACCTGTGCTTTATTGATTGTTCAAATACTTTCAATTGTGTGGATGGATCATAAGAAGCTACGGACAACATTGTAGAAAATGAGTATTCTGGAACACTTAATTATGCTCATGAGGAATCTGTATAAAGACCAAGAGGCAGTTGTTAGAACAGAACAAGGGAATACTGAATGGTTTAAAATTAGGAAAGGTGTGTGCCCGGGTCACCATATTTATTCAATCTATATAATGAGCAAATAATCTGAGAAACTGAATTATATGAAAAAAACAACAACAAAAAACACAGCATCAGGGTTGGAGGAAGACTCATTAACAATCTGCATTATGCAGATGATTCAACCTTACTTGCTGAAAATGAAGAGGACTTAATGATGAAGATCAAAGACCACAACCTTTGGTATGGGTTGCACTTCAATGTAAAGAAAACAAAAATCTTCACCACTGGACAAATAAATAACATCAAGATATATGGAGAATAGATTGAAATTTCCAAAGACTTCATTTTACTTGGATCAACCATCAATGCTCATGGAAGCAGCAGTCAAGAAAACAAACGACATATTGCCTTAGGGAAATCCGTTGCACAAGACCTATTTAAGCCTTTCAGGAATAAAGATGTCAGTTTGAGGACTAACGTGGACCTGACCCAAGCCATGGTATTTTCAATAACCTTTTTTGCATGTGAAAGTTGGATTATAAAGAAAGAAGCTATGGTGTTGGTGGAGAGTATTAAAAGTACCAAGGACTCCCAAAAGAACAAACAAATCTGTGTTGGAAGAAGTACAGCCAGAATGCTCCATACGAGTCAGGATGATCAGACTTCATCCTTCATACTTCAGACATATTATCAGGAGGTACAAGTCCCTGCAGAAGGACATCCCTACAGAAGGTAAAGTAGAGGGTCCATGAGAAAAAATAAAAGAGGAAGACCCCCAATGAAATGTATTGGTACAGTGGCAGCAGCAATGGGCTCAAGTTTGGCAACAGTTGGCACAGTGCTTCATTCTGTTATGCATGAAGTCATTGTGAGTTGGTACTGATGTAACACCACCTAACAATAACAACAAAGGGTCATCCATGGTAGACAGGTTCTAACTGAGCCATTCAAGTTGAAAAGGGCACTATTTACCTAAGGACACAGTTGAGAAGGGATGGTGGAAATGATATAAGAACCACAGGGAGGAAGTGGAACAACTGTTATTACATGGAGAGGATTGCAATCATTGAAATGAATAGTGTACAATGTGTTAAATGTAAAACTGATGATCTCTGTATATCTTCATTCAGTTCACAATAAAAAATTCCAAATAAAATAAAATAAAGTGAAGTGCCCCAGAATTATTGTGTAAGTGATTCTCTGAGAGTTAAACTCTGAGAGAAAAACTCAGCATGTAATGGATAAGATCAGACCTCTATACAAATAGTTCATCTTACGATATACTTACAAGGAAAAGTGGCAGATTAAATGACTCGGCTGCATTGAAGTACTTAATGCTTACTCTCAAGAGGTCACAATTGCTGTTGTTGTTGTTAAGTGCCATTAAGTCGGTCCCGACCCATAGAGACCCTGGATAGGGTTTCCGAGGAGCAGTTGGTGAGCTTGAACCACCAACCTTGCAGTTTAAATGGCTTTGCAGTCTGGCGCATTAATCCACAGCACCACACCAGGACTCCAGGAGGTCACATTAGGAACCTCTATATATGGGCATACAAGTTTAGCCATGGCTGGAACCAGCTTTATTATAATTATTGCACTAAGACAATGAATTACAGGTTTTATTGTAAATGTACTTTATAATGAAGTATTTTTAAAGTAGCATGTAAGAACTTTAGCATAAAAGGGTAGCTAAAACAAACCAAAGCCAATTTTGAGTAGGATGCTGTGTTCAGAAACTGTACAACTGAACCATAGAAAATGATAATCAGAATATGTGAAGAGTATAATTCTATATATTAATTCATCTGCTGTGATCTCTAATTCTATTTCTAATATTCAATCTATAATTTCTCTTTGTCTATACCTGATGTTAATGCCAAGACTTAATAGAGGTTAAGAAGGCCAGGGATTCTGCTGGCCTAAAGCTGAGCCTTACCTAAAATTGATGGGCATTGTATGGCTACTGTTACACAACATGCTTTTAGTTAAAAGTAATAAATCTGAGCGCAACTAAAAATAATCATTGGGATTTTCTGTTCTTGACCAGTCCGTAAAAAGAGAAAGTCAGATAGGAGGAGTAACCATCTCAAATTCTATCAGTACCTAATTATATCAATAACTAATCCATTAGAGGTCAGACAAAATTGATAGAAGTTTCATGCTCCCTCCATGTATCCACAAAAGGACTTTAGTAGAGTCTCTGGAACATGGAAAATGTTCACTAACTGTATATTTTAAGGATGGCTGAATGTGTAAACTGATTCTATGAGTGGAATCGATGACAGCTTACTTAAAAATACTATGGACATTCCTTATACAAGATTTACACATAAACAAAAAGAGCAAATTAGTTATTTCTTTCATGATGGATGCCAATCCAATCACATGTCCATCGATCGAAAATGTTCCATTCATAGGTAGATCTTCAACATCTTGCAAATTGAATGTTCCTTTTGCTTACAATTTATATCATTCCAGCCCCAGTTCTTCTTACGGTAATTTAAGGTAACACAACGCTCCTTAGGATTACTGGGTTCACCAGGATGCCACAATCTGAAAGGGAGAAAAAGGATAAGGCTAGTTCTTCAAACTGTGTTTTGAAAAGGGTTAGAGTGTGAGGGAGCTGGGGTTGAACACTATGGAGTTCCAGATCAGATAGGTCCAATCATCCCTTCCCCACGTATGCTGCCTCCTTGTATCAAACACTCAAGTTTAAGCAGCTTCACATCATTCTGTGTCTCTAACATTTCCCTTGAAAATTACACTCACACCACCCAAAGTCACCTTAGGCAATTCAGGGCACATTAAACATCCTCCACCAGTTATCCCAGAAGATCCAATCCTCTTGTTCATCCTTCTCTCCTATTCCCATGAAACTACTAATCCTATGTTGTCGTCAAGTGCCATTGAGTCAATTCCAACCTCGTATAGGGTCTCCAAGAAGTGAGTGGTGAGTTTGAACCTCTGACCGTGTAGTTAGCAGCCCAGTGCTTCTCCTTGACACCGAGACTTCTTTAAATGATGGAAAAGATTTCCCCCTAGTCCCAAGTATCAATAAGATTTGTTCTTTATGCACTGCTTTTGAAGTCTGGAGAAGTTATGGTCTCTGGATATGTTACAATTAATTTAATTTCCCTCAGTCTCAGATTTACTACCTGCAAAATGGTGATTGATTAATGTGTTAAGTATCATTGAGTCATTTCCCACTCATAGTCACTCTGTATAGGGTTTCCAAGTAGTGGCTGCTGAGTTTGAACCACCAATCTTGTGGTTCAAACGGTCTTGAAGTCAGTACTTATCCTACAACACCACACTAGGACTCTGATTGAGTAACTGTTTTTCATACAGTTGGTATGAGGATCAAAGATAGTATTCTAAAGGACTTTGTTGTTGTTGTTGTTAAATGCCTTTGAGTAGGTTCTGATTCATAGCAGTTCTGTATAAGGTTTCCAAGACTTTAGACCTTTGAGGAGTCCTGGTAGCTTAGTGGATTACAAGCAGGGTCAGCAGTTTGACTCTTCCATGGGAGAAAGATGAGGCCTTCTGCTCTAGTAAAAAATTACAGCCTCGGAAACCCTATACAGGGTCACTATGAGTCAGAACCAAGTCGGTACCAAGTCAACTACACACAACCACCATCATCACATTTTTGAAAGTCTCATCTTTCTTTTGAGGGAGGAGCAGAAGTCTAGTACTTATCATACAGAGCCACCATGCTCACAAAACTAAAGTTCTTTTTAAACTACATAAATAGGAGATATTATAAGATTATCAGAATTTCATATTTTTGTTTTATGAAAAATAGTCATTATTTATTATCTTAAGTGATATGGTTTTTTGTTTTATTTATTTAGAAGTAACCAACTCCATGGCACATAACCAACTAACCAACCAATCATAAATGTAGTTAAAAGCGCAGACTTCAGCATCAAATAGACCTGAACTTGTATGCTTTTTGAGTAGTTTTTTATAGGTGTTACTATTTTTTCTTTTTTTAGTAGCTAAGAGCTAGAATGGCCAACTGTGGCTCAGGATTCAGGCTTCTTTTATTGAATTCTATACTTACTTGACATTCTTGTTGTATGGAGAATGATCTATCCACTGCCACTGGTCATTGTTCCCTTCTGGATCTGACAGCCCCAAATAGTAAGCAAATTCTTGTTGTACATGTGTTAATATTAATTTCTGATAGAGGGAAAAAATGGCCCACAGAGATTAGAGTATTTAGGTTGTAACAAGTTTTTTAAAGTTTTAGATGAAAGAAAAGAAAAGAACCAAGGCTCCAGAGAAAGCTACATGGCTTCTGACCATAATCAAAAGGTTTCCGTGACTGAGCAGGGCAGCATCAAATATATCACATAAGAATATATGGGAGAGAGTTCTAATCATGATAACACTGAATTTTAATCTCATACTCACTTGTCCACTTTTCTAACAAATGGTAGTTTTCAAAGTTGTACACGAGACAATGTACACAGATTTAATCATTTTTCTTTCATAACTTCAGAGATGCTTTAACTTCATTTCTGATTGGTAGTTGTGATTCTTAAAATTCAACTCTGTATCTCTATTCTACATAATATCCGTTCATTGTTAAATAGTTAATGATGCCTAAAACATTTACATGTTGAAAGAACAAACTGTCATTTAGGACTGAAATTTTCTCATCCTTCCACTTAACTCCCATGTTATATTTCAAATGACCTAATTTTTTTTATGGGGGAGATTTTATTAAAGCAGGAATAAGGTATAGAATATAAAGGTTTAGGCACTTCTCCTGTCTACTTTCCTAAAAGCCTAACTGCTACACCACCAACATCCCGAACCATAAAATCCTCCACTCAGACAGCAGAGATGTACAAACCCGAGGCAGGGCTTCTAGTTCATGATGCTCTATTAGAAAGTACCTGCTCCTCCACAGTGTTGATCACCAGCAGATGAGCTCCCATGCCACAGCAGTTTTTCTCACTTTCATTCCAAGATTTTGCTTCAGGAGAAATAAAGTAGCAGCTGGTATTAAATGCTATCCATTTCTCTGGACAGCAGTCCCAGCTTTTGCCTACATTGGGAAGATGGACAGATCAGTGTAATATAGCAAAGTGGTTTTTTTAATGTTCATATTATTAAAATTAAGCACCAAGGAAGACATATTTTGGGGGAAATGAATTAGGCATACTTTTCCCTATGCCTCTCACTAAGTACAAGTAAACATTCCTGACAACACAATATATAAACAAATATAAAAATATATAAAAAGACTAAGTGATAACAGACTTGCTAGGGACATTGAGACCCAGGAGTGCCACAACAGTGAGATGTCAGAGTTTCTCTTTGCCCTATTATGTCAGCAGAAACCAAGCAGGCAAGAGGGCACTGGAGAAACATATACAGAACTCTGAAACCAAAAAAAAAAAACTAAACAAACAAACTGCCAACCAAGAACCAAAACCACCCCTCAAATACAAAGACAAAGTTATAGCATTTCCAGATAAACAAATTAAAGGAATTTCTAAGTCAATTTTACAAAAAAGTACTAAATGAAGTCCTTGCAACTGAGAACCAATAACAGCAGGCAATAACTGGAGAATGATATATATGGTAACATCACCCCAAATTCAATCCTGATGTAAAAGCATCCAGAGTAAAACAAAACCACAAGACTGGAAATAGGGAATTAAGGATATCAATCTATAAGTAAGACAATTACAAAGCAAGTAAGGAGTCCTGGTGTAGGATAATGAACTGAATCGCAAGGTCAGTTTGAGCCTAAAGGTCAGCAGTTCAAACCCACCAGCCGCTCTTCGGAAATCCTATACAGGATCAATATGAATTGACGGCACTTAACAAACAACAACATAAAGCAAGAAGAGGAAAAAGTATGGTTACAGGATTCCAAATGGCGAAGAAGTCAAGAAGACTTCAAGATAAAACACTGCTTTAAAATGGGGAAGAAATTAATAAATTACAAAGTAAACTCAGACAATTGATATACTTCCACACTAGTCAAGAAAAGGAAAATCTATGAAGATTTGGTAAACATTAAAACTATGAAGAAATTGAAACTGAAAAGGTACAAAAAAGTAATGAACTCAGCACAGGAAAACATGCAGAACAAAGAAACCAGCAGCACCACAAAAACCACACACAGTAAAAGGACTGCAGTCAATTTCTGTTGTTGTTGCTGTTTCATGCCATCTAGTCAGTTTCGACCCATAGTGACCCTATGCACAGCAGAATGAAATACTGACCAGTTCTGTGCAAACCTCACAATTACTGTCATGCCTGAGCCCATTTCCAGTGCCAATCCATCTCACTCGGGGTCTCCCTCTTTTTCGCTGACCCTAAACTTTACCAAACATGATGTTCTTATCCACACACTGGTTCCTCCTGATAATATGTCCAAAGTATGAGAGATGAAGTCTGGTCATCCTGGCTTCTAAAGCGTATTCTAACTGTACTTCTTGCAACACACATTTCTTCTGGCAGTCCATGGTATTTGCAGTATTTCTCTCCAACACCATAACTCAGATGCATCAATTCTTTAGCAGTCTTCCTTACTCCTTATCCAACTTTCACATGCACATGAGGTTGTTGAAAATACCATGGCTTGGGTCAAGCACACCTTAGTCCTCAAACTGACTCTTTGCTCTTGAACACTTTAAAGGACCTAATGCAATATGTCATTTGCATTCAATTCACACATACCAATGCTTATGCTGATTAAATGCACCAGTCAAGAGACAGAGAGTAGCAGAATGGATAAGAAAACAGGATCCTTCAATATGCTGTCTATAAGAAACACACCTTACACCCAAAGACAAACGTAGATTAAAAATTAAATGTTGGGAAAAAATATATCAAGCTAATGACAATAAAAAATGAACAGGAGTAGCAATATTAATTTCTTATGGCAAAATCCAGCATAAAAGACAAATAAGGATATTAACTTATGGTTAAAGGCCAATTAAACAAGAGGACATAACCATAATAAATATCTGTACTCCCAATGAAGAGCCTCAAAATACATAAATCAAACTCTAATAGAATTTAAGAAAGAAACAGATAACTCTACAATAATAGTATGAGACTTTAATACTACTCTTTTGAAAAAGGATATTATAATCAGAGAGAAACTAAACAAAAACAGAAGAAATAAACAATACAATCAATCAACTTGACCTCATAGATTTATGCAGAACACTCAACCCAACAACAGCACAATACATATTATTTTCCAATGCACATGGAGCATTCTCCAGAATAGGCCATATGTTAGGTGACAAACCAAGTCTCAATAAATTTTAAAACATCAAAATACTACGAACCACCTTCTCAAATCACAATGCTATAGAATTAAAAATCAACAGTAGGAAGATCAAGGAAACAAAATCAAATACATGGAAACAGAATAAAACCCTGTTTAAAAGTTATCTTTGGGACACAGCAAAAGCAGTGCTTAGAGGGCAATTCATAGCAATAAATGCATAATCCAAAAAGTAGAAAGAACCCATATCAATACATTAACATAACGTCTCCAACAATTAGAAGAAGACTAGCAAAGTAAGCCTACAGTCAAAAAAGGAAAAGAAATAATAAAGATTAGATCAAAAATCAATGAATTAAAATACAGAAAAACAACAGACAGCATCAACAAGACAAGAAGTTGGTTCTTGAAAGGATTAACAAATTTGACAAACCATTGGCAAATCTAACAAAAGAAAAGAGGGATAATACACATAAGGAACTATATGGGGGATCTTCACTACTTATGGACACAGATCTGCTCCTCTCTCTGAAGTGTACTTTCACTTTGCAATGAAATCATATGAGTGAATGTCTTTTGTGCTTGCATCCTTGAGAAGCAGCAACTCCAGGTGAGTTTTGATTCTTCAGATTCCTTGAGAAGGGAACCAAGAGACATGTAACATCTTTGGCACCAAAACCCAGGAGACTGGAAACCTCTCTTTGCTGCTTCTTCCTTCTTCTCAATGTAAGGCAAGAATGTATAAGGTGGGTCCTTTTTCCAGATTCCTGCTTGTGTGCCTAGTACTGTCACTGCCCTCAGTCTACCCAAGAGAATGGCAACCTCTGAGGTTCTGAACATTGGTCAAAAACTTTATGAGGGTAAAACAAAAGAAGTCTATGTGTTGTTAGATAGGTCAAGAAAAGTCCTCCTTCAGTCCAAGGTCCATATTACAGCAGGCAATGCAGCTAGAAAAAATCACCTGGAAGGAAAAGCTGCAATTTCAAATAAAATTGCCAGTTGTAATTTTCAGTTGTTAGAGGAATCAGGTATCAAAACTGCTTTACCAAAAAATGTAGGGAAACAGCACATTATACCGCAATGTGAAATGATTCCAATTGAATGGGTGTGTAGAAGAATAGCAACTGGTTCTTTTCTCAAAAGACACCCTGGTGTCCAGGAAGGATATAAGTTTTACCCACCTAAAGTGGAAATGTTTTTTAAGGATGATGACAATAATGATCCACAGTGGTCTGAGGAACAGCTTATTGCTGCAATTTTTTGCTTTGCTGGATTTGTTATCGGCCAAACTGAAGTGGATATCATGAATCATGCCACATAGGCTATTTTTGAAATACTGGGAAAATCCTGGTTGGCCCAGAACTGCACATTGGTTGATATGAAGATAGAATTTAGTGTTGATGTAACCACCAAAGGAAACTATTCTTGCTGATGGCATTGATAGCAATTCCTGGAGACTCTGGCCATCAGGAGATTGAAGCCAACAAAAAGATAAAACAGTCGTATCGTGACTTTCAAAGAAGTTACTCTGGAAGGACTGCAAATGGTAAAGAAAAATTTTGAGTGGGCTGCAGAAAGAATAGAGTTGCTTCTGAAATCGGAAAGCCAGTGCAGGGTTGTAGTATTGATGGGCTCAACCGCTGATCTCTGTCACTGTGAAAAAATCAAGAAGGCTTGTGGAAACTTTGGCATTCCATGTGAACGTCAGATAACTTTCGCCCTTAAAGGACCAGATGAAACTCTGAGGATTAAAGCTGAGTGTGAAGGGGATGGCATTCTGACCGTATTTGTGGCAGTAGCTGGCAGAAGCAATGGTTTGGGACCAGTGATGTCTGGTAACACTGTATATCCAGTGATCGGCTGTCCTCCCCTCACCGCAGACTGGGGAGCTCGGGGTGTATGGTCTTCTCTTTGACTACCCAGGGGTCTCGACTGTTCAGCAATTCTTTCTCCCGAAGGATCAGCTCAGTTTGCTGCTCAAATATTTGGATTAAGCAATCATTTGATACGTGCTAAACTGCAAGCAAGCATATTGAATACATGGATTTTCTTGACAAGAAAATCAGAGAATGCAATTATAAAGAACTTCATTATGTTTTTTTATGAGAAAAATAACAAATGTCTAATTTAGGTGTAAGAAAAAAAATCATGTAAGATGAAAAGATTCTAAATTAGACAAAAAAAATAAAATGTATTGAATAAATGGTTCTCTAGATTCATAGATTAGTGGGGGAAGAAAAAAAGAATGTATAAGGTGGCTATCCCCTTGTATGTACTGTATGCATGATTTTCCTCCTAAACTGTCTCCCTCTCTATTATCTATCTCTCTTTCCCTTTCTCATTTCAGAATTTTCGGAGTCACCAGTTCTAGTCCGGGGTCCGAGGACAAAAATGCACTCCTTCCCTCTGACTCAAAAGACTGGGTGATCTGTCATTAGAGTAGATCCTTGCAGAGGTGATCCTGAGATTAACACCCCAGGTGAGCCTTACCCATAAGCACCATGTCTCAGATCCAACACACCTACTCTGACCCTGTTCAGTCTGCCTAGCCTCAACTGCTCTTGACAGTTACCTCTTGTAATCCTTAACTTTGAAGCTCTCTGGTGTGCAATCAATCTTTCAGCCTTTCTGAGTGTTTCAGGACCAGGTCAGAGTGTTCCATTTTACAAGCCTGTAGTTAGTTTCAGAAGGCACCTGTGACTTTTAATCGGATGACCAGTCTGAGAGATTTTGTCAAACTCTGCATACACCTCTTCTCTTGCTTCCACATTAATACTTTGCTTTGAGGTATGTAG